TGTTGACACTTTGACCCTGTTGTTGTTGACACTTTGACCCTGTTGTTCTTTACACTTTGACCCTGTTGTTCCTGTTGTTGTTGACACTTTGACCCTGTTGTTGTTGTTGTTGTTGTTGACACTTTGACCCTGTTGTTGTTATTTAAATAAATTCAGAACAGTCCGACAAACACAAAACAAAGTTCTGCAAATGGACCCGAACCGACCCATCAGAACCGAGCCTTGAGCTGGTCCAGTTTAAACCATCTACATTTCCTGTCAGTCAAACGAAGTTCTGAAAAACCAGCCGAACCTTAAAATGGGTCAGTCTCGAGTCCGGATCTGGACCCGACCTGGACGATCCTATCTCGGTGTCATCAATCTGGTCGGGTTCGAACTAGAGCGGGTTCAGTTCGAGTGTAAACGCGACTTGAAAAGGTCCAGTCAAAGCCCATCCGAACCCAACTCCTCCCCGGAGATGTTCTCCTGGTCAGCCGCTCCTCGGCCGGACGGACCGGTACCGGTACCGGGAGGCTCTCTGTCTGTGGACCGACACCGGGGTACCGAACAGCGGCGGGCAGCGGGGTTACTTACAGCACGGTTCGGCTCGGTCCGGGTCCAGAGCCGCAGCGGTCCGACACCAACGTAAAGCTAATGGAAACCAGCTCAGCTTCCGGTTTCTACCGAGAAAATAAGAGCGCGTCATAACGGCTACTTCCGCCTACACTTCAAAGTAAAAGACGGTCCTGCCGAAGACAAGTTTCATTTTTTTATTTTTATTTAATCCCTAAACAACTTTAAACGTAAAGAAACCTTCAATAAATACGAATAAAGAATAAATGTATATATATTATTAAGCACCGTCCAATCACCATCCTGTCTCTTTGCCCTTTTTCCTTTCCAGGTCGCTGGAGCTGGTCTCTGTCTCCTGCATTCACTGGGACAGGTGGGGACACGTGGACAGTCCATCGCAGAGACACATGGAGACAAACGAGACAAACAACCTTTATCTGTCATATGCACACAACGTCACCATGAAATGAAATGTTCAGGATGAAAAGAACGATTTGAGTCAGTAAAAACAAACAAACAAACAAGAAATGCTGAACATGCAACAAGGGTACAACATAAAGTGCAAAAAGTGAAAAAGAAATCTAACAGTTACAAGGTCCAAAATGAATATAGTAAACAACAACATGGTAGAATATGATTATGCACGCAGGATGAATGAGTGTAAATAAATATTTCACAGGTAGTAATATAAACTTAAATGCACATGATATGTACTGAAACATGGAAGTTTTTGATTAGTGGGAGGAAAAACATGTAAACTCAACTCAGAAAGACCAGGAGGAGAACCTGTGACCTTCTTACTGAGAGGCAACAGCTCTAATCACTGTTCCACCGTGATGACATGCAGCTTGAGTTATCTATCACTTCAGGGGGAGGTCAAAGGTCAGCTAAGAGTCAGTTTCCACAGGAAGTCAGGCGCACACAGAAACCTTCCATCAATTAAAATATTGGGTTTAATGTCTCACTCGCACACACACGCACGCACGCACACACAGGTTTGTTTTGCTATCTTTATGGGGCATCTGCATTGACTTCTATTCATGTTTCATTCATTTCCATAGCCTAACCCTGACCTTTACCCTAAACCTGACCCCGACCCACCAACGGGACCGCGTTTTATGTTGGTCCTCACAATGTAGTATAAGTTGGAAAAATGGGCCTTACAAAGCAGCATAAACAAGGACACACACACATCTGAATTCTACATTCTCCTTGTAATCCAGCTGTTTTTGTTACTTTTCTTTTTTAGCCATCCTAATAGTTTAAAAAAAAAATCTGTTTGCCTTTTTACAACTGTCTATTGTCGCTGTTGTCCATTGTTGTCATGATTCTTTGTTAAACCAGGTCTCTGTTGTAAAAGAGTCCTCGAGGCTCAACGGGACTAACCTGAATAAATAAAGGTTGAAAGAATGAAACAATCGAAACAGAGACAAGGAAACATCTGGTTTAATGTTTTCATGCAAAACAGGGGGTTCCCAACAGGGTGAGTGTGCGTGTGTGTGGGTGTCCTTGTTTTTGCTACTTTGTGAGGCCCATTTTTCCAACTTATACTACATTGTGAGGACCAACTGCTCCTTATGGGGCCCAAAGCCCGGGCCCCATAAGAAGAAGTCCCGTTGGTGGGTTAGGGGCTAGGTTTAGGACTAAGGTGTGAATTGAGGATGTGTTAGGTTTAGGGTTAGGTATGTACTGGTAATGGTTAGGTTATGGATAAAGGTCATGGTTAGGCTATAGAAATGAATGAAAAATGAATGGAAGTCAATGCAAAGGCCCCATAAAGATAGCAAAACAAACCTGTATGTGTGTGTGAGTGAGTGAGAGAGAGAGAATACCTGGCATTGTTTCAGTTCTGAGGTATTTTCTTGTTGTGGTGAAGAAGAGGAGGAAATAAACACATGAACAACATCAAAGTTTGCAGCGTCATCTCGTCAGTTGCTGAGTCATCCTTCCTGCCTGTGGGAACAAAGCTTGAACGAATTATAACAATCAAAATTAAACAGAACGTGTTTGTTCCTCTGAGTTTCTCGTCTTCTGCTGCCAGTTTGGTTGATTTGTTTGGGTTTGTGTGTTTGTTTATTTGTCTTGTTTACTCTGTGTTGTTGTGTTGTTTACCTCGAGGCTGCTGTGCAGAAAGCTCAGGGCTGAAGGAAAGAAAGAGCAGTGGAACTAGAAGAGTGATGAAGATGAAGCAGCAGAACCTGAACCATGCCGTCACCTGGTGGACAAACAGCCAACTTACTCTAAATCAAGTCAACTTTATTTATAGAGCACATTGAAATC